TTGTAGAAATCGGGAAAATGAAAAATGCGAATACATGTAGTAAATTTATCAAGGAAGAGTATCAGACACTTGTTCGCTTTAATTGCTCCCGGAAATATGATACAGTGTTACTTGAATTTCTTTATGACATCATACACTGACAAAATGGATATCAAAAGTACAGACTGTTAACCAAATTAAATCCTCAGTGTAGTTACATAATCATTTACACTTTCACCCGCCGCTTGGTTTCGTTTGTGAGATCTAAATCGTTCAGCTATAATCAATGGCTTTGGGTTAAGATGTTTATTCAATAATTCACAAAGATCGTCACATGTCTGTGTTGAAGGTTTGTCCGGTGATGTCAAATTTCGAAGTAACCCGTAAGTTTTTTCTCCAAGTAAAGTTAATAAAGCTGGAACTTTTTTCTCATCGTCTATTTCATTTACTAAAAAGTACTGTTCTAAACGTTCTTGATAGCATGTCCATGATTCTGAATTGCCATCAAATCCAGATAAATGTCCAATTAATGCAGCCATTTTAACACTTATAAATTAAATCCAGAATTTTACACATATTATGAAATAGATAAAATCCCCGAAATTTAATGTTCAATTATCCTCGTCGCCAGATTGTTATGTTTTCTATAGAGAAGTAACACGTCTTTAATGCTGAACTATCGTTTATTAACTGATCTGATACAGATCGTGGCATGCTTAGATAAGGTTAGTAGGCGGGGCCTATTAGTAATACATTCTGACCAATGAATAACAGAGTTATACACAACAGTGACCTTCCCCTTTAGTAAAATATAACTCAGGTTTTGTGTTCCGTATGCCTGAAATATTTCTATAAAGAATGTCGTTGCTGTTTTCAGGAATCAGTTTATACCACGTGTCGTTTTGAGGATTAAAGCACAAAAGGGAACCTTTCTCACCGGTCATGAGCAAAACATCACATTTACATTCACCTCCATGTAACGTGCGTTCCACATTGCTTGAAACCATAAAATCATTTAATATGCCAACACAAGAAGCTTCCCGTAAAAGAGAATCGGTAATATCTTGTATATCAATTGTGTCAAAGAGTTCCTTAACATTTGCTTTTGTCTCATCCGAGTTATTTCTGACCCAGTGCATTAGAAACGATAACCGTTCGTCCATCGATACATAAGAGAGTCGTTCGTCAGTAAATAGCTTTTGGATTAATTCCCTTGAAAAGTACAGTGCATCTTGGGTTTTGAAAACTTCGGGCAGATGGCTTTCTACATATTCCATACAGTTTGGAACTTCGAAATTGTACACCGAAGATAGTTTCAGTACGTATATGTACGTTTCTTTCGTAATTTCAAAATCACGAAGCCAATTGATGCAAGTAATTTTAAGACCTTCAATCATAAAGTATTCCGCTTGTTCAAGAAGTAGCTCTACATTGTCTATGTTTATATCTGGCACAATGCCATATAGGTACATTATTGCCATCTCAACTGAATTTGGCGTACCAACACTTACATCCACCAGTCCTGCAATAAATGAGATCTTGTTTATTATAAAATTCTCCACAAAATAATGTTGCACTCCACATGTGTCATGAGCAACGTGTCAGAAACGTGTCTTATATCATTTCCATAATAACAACAATAACCAAATACGTGTATTACATCAACTAAGACAACACTAAATATTTAAATCAGACAAAGCACTTAGATTTGTATCAATTATTTTGTTTCATTTACTAAGATTGAAGTATATCGCACTCAAGTTCTGTTATTTAGGTAAATGTCTATTTTTATGCCCCCACAATGTGGGAGCATATAGCATTGCACTTGTCCGTCCGTCCGTCCGTACGTCCCGAAATCTTGTGAACGCAACTCCTCTTAAACCGGATGGCAGATTCTGTTTAAACTTAAATGGATGAACAACCTTTATGTGTAGATGGTAGTAAAGGAAGGAATTTTCGCTGCGACCAAATTTAACAGAATTATGGCCCTTTGTTGATTTTTTCACTAGATACTATGTAAAAATTTTGTGAACGCAACTCCTCTTAAATCGGATGGCAGATTTTTCTGAAACTTACAGGGATGAACAACCTTATTGTGTAGATGGTAGTAAAGGAATGAATTTTTGCTGCAACCAAATTTAACAGAATTATGGCCCTTTGTTGATTTTTTCACTATATACTATGTAGAAATTTTGTGAACGCAACTCCTCTTAAACCGGATGGCAGATTTTGCTTACACTTACAGGGATAAACAACCTAAAGGTGTAAATAGTAGTAAAGGAAGGAATTTTCGCTGCGACCAAATTTTACAGAATTATGGCCCTTTGTTGATTTTTTCACTAGATACTATGTAGAAATTTTGTGAATGCAACTCCTCTTAAACCGGATGGCAGATTTTGCTTAAACTTTATGGGATGAACAAGCTTAATGTGTAGATGGCAGTAAAGGAAGGAATTTTTTTTGCTGCAACCAAATTTAACAGAATTATGGCCCTTTGTTGATATTTATGCCCCCACAAAGTGGGAGCATATAGCGTTGCACTTGTCCGTCCGTCCGTCCATCCGTCCGTCCATCCGTACGTCTGTCCGTTCGTCCGTCCGTCTGTCCGTACGTCTCGAAATCTTGTGAACGCAACTCCTCTTAAACTGGATGGCAGATTTTGCTTAAACTTCCAGGGATGAACAACCTTAATGTGTAGATGGTAGTAAAGGAAGGAATTTTCGCTGCGACCAAATTTAAGAGAATTATGGCCCTTGGTTGATTTTTTCACTATATACTATGTAGAAATTTTGTGAACGCAACTCCTCTTAAACCGGATGGCAGATTTTGCTTAAACTTCCAGGGATGAACAACCTTAATGTGTGGATGGTAGTAAAGGAAGGAATTTTTGTTGGGACGAAATTTAACAGAATTATTGCCCTTTGTTGATTTTTTTCACTAGATACTAATGTAGAAATTTTGTGAACGCAACTCCTCTTAAACCGGATGGCAGATTTTGTTTAAACTTCCAGGGATGACCAACCTTTATGTGTAGATGGTAGTAAAGGAAGGAATTTTTGCTGGGACGAAATTTAACAGAATTATGGCCCTTTGTTGATTTTTCACTATATACTATATTGAAATTTTGTGAACGCAACTCCTCTTAAACCGGATGGCAGATTTTGCTTAAACTTCCAAGGATGAACAACCTTTATGTGTAGATGGTAGTAAAGGAAGGAATTTTTGCTGCGACCAAATTTTACAGAATTATGGCCCTTTGTTGATTTTTTCACTAGATACTATGTAGAAATTTTGTGAATGCAACTCCTCTTAAACCGGATGGCAGATTTTGCTTAAACTTTATGGGATGAACAAGCTTAATGTGTGGATGGCAGTAAAGGAAGGAATTTTTTTTGCTGCAACCAAATTTAACAGAATTATGGCCCTTTGTTGATATTTATGCCCCCACAAAGTGGGAGCATATAGCGTTGCACTTGTCCGTCCGTCCGTCCATCCGTCCGTCCATCCGTACGTCTGTCCGTTCGTCCGTCCGTCTGTCCGTACGTCTCGAAATCTTGTGAACGCAACTCCTCTTAAACTGGATGGCAGATTTTGCTTAAACTTCCAGGGATGAACAACCTTAATGTGTAGATGGTAGTAAAGGAAGGAATTTTCGCTGCGACCAAATTTAAGAGAATTATGGCCCTTGGTTGATTTTTTCACTATATACTATGTAGAAATTTTGTGAACGCAACTCCTCTTAAACCGGATGGCAGATTTTGCTTAAACTTCCAGGGATGAACAACCTTAATGTGTGGATGGTAGTAAAGGAAGGAATTTTTGTTGGGACGAAATTTAACAGAATTATTGCCCTTTGTTGATTTTTTCACTAGATACTATGTAGAAATTTTGTGAACGCAACTCCTCTTAAACCGGATGGCAGATTTTGTTTAAACTTCCAGGGATGACCAACCTTTATGTGTAGATGGTAGTAAAGGAAGGAATTTTTGCTGGGACGAAATTTAACAGAATTATGGCCCTTTGTTGATTTTTCACTATATACTATATTGAAATTTTGTGAACGCAACTCCTCTTAAACCGGATGGCAGATTTTGCTTAAACTTCCAAGGATGAACAACCTTTATGTGTAGATGGTAGTAAAGGAAGGAATTTTTGCTGCGACCAAATTTTACAGAATTTTGGCCCTTTGTTGATTTTGAGTTTTCAACTTGTGGCACATGTAGTCCAAAAAATATTTGACCTAGAGTCATAAGATTGACAGAACAGTGGCGTGTGGGGGGGGGCTCCGTGTCCTATGGACACATTTCTAGTTTCATTATATACTATGTAGAAATTTTGTGAACGCAACTCCTCTTAAACCGGATGGCAGATTTTGCTTAAACTTCCAGGGATTAACAACCTTAATGTGTAGATGGTAATAAAGGAAGAAATTTTTGCTGCGATCAAATTTAAGAGAATTATGGCCCTTTGATGATTTTTAGTTTTCAACTTGTGGCACATGTAGTCCAAAAAATATTTGACCTAGAGTCATAAGATTGACAGAACAGTGGCGTGTGGGGGCATCCGTGTCCTATGGACACATTTTTAGTTTTATTTATATTTATCTTAGATATTAAAGAATTGATAGGCTTTTGAAATTAAAAAGACAGTTATTCTCAATACGAATAAGTATTCTTTACCTCTTTGTTTTTCTGTAAAGTTTGCACTCATTGCTCGTTGGAAAAAACGACTTGAAGCAAGCACGCATCGATGAAATCGTTTTGTCTGAAGAATACATGATAGGCATAATTATATTTTGTGCTGTAATAAAGCTAAAATATAGAGAAATAAAGAATCCATAACAACGTCCAAAGCGGCGAAATTTAAAATGTAAAGGGTCGGTTTGATAACCCTGTTCATGGACTGTACTGAAAAATGCAATCTACCGTCCAAGTTCCCTAGAATTTGCTCAAACAGAATCCAAAATTCAACATAAAATGGTGTTGTTTTTTTTTTTTGTTGTTCGAGTTCCAGATACCAAAGGCATTAAAACTTGTTTTTCCTCTTTGAAGACTATTCACTTATTTATATTGTTATTAATGAATTGATCTTCAACAATTTTTTAAAGGATATGGTTGAACTAATATTTTTAAAGAAAGGTTCAACAGTATAAACTCTGAGAATCAAGACTTAAAACTTACATCAATTTATAACGGAATTTATACGATTTATAAATACAGTATGAATAACTTTGTTTACCCATAATCCAACCTTCACAGTAAAGTCACACAACGGAGATTGATCATCAACTTGTTCGACGAGATATCTAAATTTGGAGTTTGGTCTTAAACCGCTATATTTTCTATCCCCATAATCAAGTTGTCCAAACATGGCTGAAATTGTAATATAACATTATGTTATTCTTATTGTTGTTGTTGTTTTTGTTATTGAAATATTGTATGCATATTTAAGACACTAAAACTAGAAATTGATTATTAAGGATATCTTTAAAATACATTTACTATTGCCTTAAATTAAACATTTCAACACAATTAAGTTTTAAAAAACTTTGGTCTAATTCGTTAGGAATTTCATTTACTTGTAGAGATAAGATTTCTTTGTATAAAATTTATCGTACTTTTAAAAATACACACATCAAGTTTTTTGATGACTAGCAATTAATTATACAGAAAAGAAAGTACAACATTTTACCTTACAAACTTATAAAAATCGAGGCCACAGTATGCGAGATACAAAGCTTAATAACAAAGATAACGAATAGAGTATGCTTTAAATCACTTATGAATCATGCATGTGTTGGAACTATTTTAAGACTAGATAGAGATAAATTTATTGTGAAATACAAAACTGGTGGTTTTCAACAAGTTGTAGTTCCATGTCGTTCGTTCTATTATTTAACTGTAAACATTTTGACTATTTCACGGATATATGATTACAGGAAAGAAAAGATTATATTTTACCTTATTCACTTGTAGAAATCCAGGCGTTCAATCAATTAAGATTTTATCAGCTAAAACTAATTCCTCATTTTAAATATCCCTATACCAGCTATATAAGCTGTTATGTTCAACTTTACCACTAAGATAGACCTTCAGTGATAAATATTTCATTTATTTTTAGATGAATCATTTTAAGATATTTATAGATTAACAATGTATGAGATCTTATCTAGACGACATAAACTTCCTTTCATGGAATTCCAAGCTATTTTTAGATGTTACGTAATTTGTATAAATCCTATCGTTAGAAACGTGAAGGTAAGAATTTACAAAATAAATCCTAAATAGAATTACATAGCATCTATACATGTACTATGTAAAGATATATATTGATTTATAAGGAAATAATTTGTAATTACACCAATTCAATATCGCAAGTGTTTTTATTGTTTACCGAACGGTAATAAAAACGAAAATGGATAAACCGAAAGTGTATTTTTATTTACATGTAATCGCGGAAATATGTAATGCATTTGGCGTAAAGACTTTTCGTTAGGCAACAAGGGAATCGTTGAAGTGCAATTATTTAAACAATTTCGAATACAACATGAAAGGCATTTATTATTTTTGTGAATTGAAATAATTTGAGGCAACTTTCAATGTGTAAACTAAGTTTTAAATAAATTTTTATATGGTGAATAGACAAAGGAGAGGAGTTGACAAAAATTAAATGTTTGTTTACGTTTTACAGAGTTACAGTAATTGATAGACAACAACAGAGTGGCATAGTCGTATTATATAACCTCTTCGGCACTGAAACAAATACCGTAAGTGTAACGTCTTTTATCATGTCCCTATATATACTGTGCAGCTCTTAGTTCACGGTACTTAACGCTTTGAAACAAGACATAAAACAACAAATGAAACTTATGGTACAAAAATTGTCATAAGCTATAACATATAGGTATTGTCTGCTGTATTGCACAAGGAAACAACAATATATTCAGTCAAAGTCAATTTTAATGGACCAAACGTAGACCGTATGTCGGCCATTTTGAAAACAGTATGTCATCATTTAAATCGTGGTAATGGTGTTACATTTCAGTTTTTTTCATGTTTTGGTTAAAATTTCTACTTGTTATTTTGCTTGATTTTAAATATTAAAATTATGCTTACTTGTAACTCAAAATTTATTTTTTTAACAAGCAAGAACATTTCGAAAATGATGATTGTTTCAGACATATGCACAAATTTAACAGACTATTGTTGCTTCTTGCAGAAATTTGTAAAACGTTGTTCTGTTTTACGTAAAAGTCTAGAGATTTAAAATATTTTCCACATAAACTTTGTTGTTTAGGTATTTGAATAAAATATGTCAATTCTGACCAATTTTAACACTGGTAACATGAAAATATGTCATTACCGTGAAATAAGTGATGACGCGGAATTAGTGATGTTGAGTATATTATGAATAATGATATTTAAATTATCACCTTCGAAATATCATTTTATGATATTATGGTTTGAGAATAGGCACGTTTTGGATCAGTAGCTTGCCTTTTCTACACATGCGCATGTTTTTGCGTAATTTTGTCGATTGGTACATAACAAAATGTTATTGTTGTTGTTGTTGTTGTTTTTTTTTTTTTTTTTTTGGGGGGGGCGGTTGTTTGTTTGTTTTTTCGTAACAGAAAAACATAATATGTTTTTTCACAGGATATGGAGGTTCAAGAAGACAAACACGACCCTGAGTCAAATTTTGAGTGTCTTGTTCATCAAGTTGAGGAGCAATCCGAGTTTTGTGACGTCACAGTCACAATGGGTGATTGGGTAAGTAAACAAAAGTCTAAATACATATCATGCATTTTCTTAATCCAAATTTATCTGAACGTCATTTGCCACAATATGCTTATCATTAAGTTGAATTTAATTTTCAGAGAAAAAGATTTCATAGATGTGTGCTTACAGCAAGTCTTCTATTTCGGTCCATAATAGAAACACAAATTGCGTACTCGAAAATAGGTAATGCTTTTGAGTGTTTGTTTGTTTGTTTGGTTAATTGGGTTTTACGTCTTACCGACACAGTATAGGTCATATGGCGACGTTCCAGCTTTACTGAAGAAGACCTCAGGTGCCTTTCCGTGCATAATTTCGGGCACGAACGAACAACGGACGCCTGAGTAGAAACAAAGTTACGTAAGCAATCTAGATAGATAACGCTGTACCTTAAAAAATAATCTATAACTTGAAATGTATGTTGACAATTATTAATTCAATGCATCTTTTTGTGAATTTAGAAAACTATAAAATACCGTTTATTTTGTCCTAAGATTTCAGGAGTGCCACTTTCATTAAAGATATTTCAATTTTCTAGGCAACTATGATGGGAAAACTGACAGAATACAGGATACGGAAATTGAGATAAAGATTAACATGTCTCCTGATGTTGTGGAGATGGCAGTCATGTTTATGTATGGAAAGATTCCTGAGTTTACTATCGCGAATATAGGTGACCTACTAGAATTAGCAGAATACCTCAAAATAAAAGAGCTTAAGGATGCGTGTGTAGATTGGTTTGATTCTGTAGATTATTCAGACATAAACTGCATCTATGTTATACAACTATCGAAAAAGTATGATTTCGAAATATCTGCATGTATCGAATATATCGAAAGTCACATACCAGAAACATTTGAACACACCGATGCTGCTGATCTTCCAAACGATTTAGTTCACCGTCTTTTCACTGATGAAAGATTTTCGTACGTACAAATAGACGACAAATTAAATTTCCTTCTAAAATTGGCAAATAATTATCCTAGTGAGTCGACGAAAGACTTTGTTATCAAATTGTTTAAAACACTTGACTTATCAGAAGTAACGCCTTCAACTTGGGAGACCGCTAAAGCAGATGTAATGTTTAATAAGATAATCAATTTAGAAACTAAAGTCAGACAGACTGACCAAGAAAATTCTAGAAAGTATGTGCTGATAATGTCTTCTGATGAAGATTATTTTGTTGGATTAGATCTACGGAATGATCGTTGGTACAGACTTAACTCTAGTTACTACGACCAATATCCTTACGAAGAATTATGGGGAGAAATTGCTGGTGTAAGAAATGATAACCCCGAAGTGTATTTCAAAGAACGTGATTTTGATGAAGACGATTTGATCACTGTAGACCTTGAATCTGATGAGATACATAGATATCTGCCTCTGATGGAATATGATGATGTTCCAAATGGAGATCTTGTTGATGTAGATATTACACATGTTAATATCACAAATGATACATTGGTCGCAATAGTAAAAAAGACGATTGAAATATATGAAGAATCTTGTAGTTCCGATAGCGAAACAGAATGTGTCTGTTCAAACCGCGAAGAAGAAAATCAAAGTGATATTAATGACGTTAGACAACCACAGTTTTTACCTGAAAATATTCCGGATACTGGTACAAGTGATGTTTCGTGTGTGATAAATACACCTGAAATATCTATAAATGAACAATCATCATCATCATCAGCATCATCATCAAGATCTTCTTCCATATCTGGCAATAAACGAGAAGATAAAATCAACTGCACCAGCGTATACGTAGGAAAGACTTCAGATGAATATGTTGAAATGCGTTCACTGTTTTCCTTTCGGAAAGAAAACATTACTCAAATATGTATGAATAATCATTCTGTCTTAGCTCTACTGACCAAATCGGACAAGCATTTACATGTGATCCTGTATGACCTAGTGGAGTGTAAGATGGACAGGGTACTATCATTATCCGTGCAGAAAGATAAGTACGAAATTTGTCCGGCTAAAAATGGATTTCTTTTGCATAACAATACATGTTGTTACTGTTTTACGAAAGCAGCGACGCCAATCTTCTCAGGGAATTATAAGGTCGAGAAATTTATGCTCGAAAATAGGGAAGAGTGGATGGTGAGGTATCTGTTTCAATGTGGAGTTTGGATAAGAGTCTTACGCAGAAGCGTGCATAATGATATCGAGCTTCAATACATATTTCATGAAGAATTAGCAGATTATCATTCTTCAATCGATGTCAACTGGAGGAACGTGTCAATGCCCAAAGATAAGGGACTATTCGATAAAATTGTGAACTTGAAGAATATTTTCATAGTCCTCCTTTCAAAAAGTAAACTTCGGTGTAATATTGAATGTCCGCATTGCAAGTTCTCGGACGAGTCAGATTTTTACTAAATATGACATGCCACATATGAAAGTTCATTGAAAATAACGCAAATGATATAAGGATTTCAAATATATACACATTTTTATACATTGTCACGTTTCCATCTCACTCATTCTTTATATTAAAACAAAAGGCGGTGTGTTTAGAATATATATTTTAAACAGTCCACAAAGCAATTATATTGATACAGTTACATTTCTCTAGAAAAATCATTTATTTTATGCGAAATACACACAAACCCTGAGTTTTTTATTAGGTTTTAGGTATATCAGTAACGCAGTAACATCAAAGCTGTGGATTGTTTGTTAAAGTCGCCACTGACCAACACAGCGTTTGCAGTGCGACTTCAAGCAATGCGGCCCTAATTGCATTGTAGAAGATCTTATTGCATAGTTATGACAATAATACGGACATTCCATGTGCATGCTCCTAATTAATAGCATCGGCTTGTGTTTACTTTAAGTTCAGAGTGTGTGCGTAAGCTAGGGGTTCAATTTTATTCCAACCTGTCTACAGGCGATGAAACTGCACAACTTAACCAATTATCAAGCCACAGAATCATTTAGATCTGAAGATTTGGGATCTGAATTATCAAAATAAGATTCTATGTCAAGTTGTATGTAAGTCAGTCTTTGATTCACTTTAATGGGAATTCATGTGTGGGTTTTTGTGGTCCAATTTTGATATTGACGTACATACATGTACATTAAATTATTATGTTTTACATAATGAAATAGGTTTATAGCTACTTGTTGCGTTATTATAGTGTCATTATGCTATTTTATTTCGTTGAGCTTGAGGTTGAGCTTAATTGGCAGTATATTTCAAAAGATTGTTCATTATACATTTCTTTGACCAAAACTGATAATAAAAAATAAAATACAACACTGCCCTAAGTATAAAAATACTGCTCCACCCTTTTTATCAATTGAATGTGATATTTAATTTATAGAATTTTCTATGAGTCACTTGAGTTATTGATTATACACATGACTATGAAACTGAAACTCTATAGTTTGACTTTGACCTGTACACCCATTTTTTACGTTTTGATAGGCATAATGTCATTTTAATATGTTAAAAGCAATATTACGTTAAAAAAGTTTTGTTAAATTTTTTCATTATTAAGAACAGTAAGGTGTTTGTAAAAGTTTTTGGTAATTAAAGAAAATTGAGACTTTTTTATGAATCATTTCTTTTTATAGTCAATGAAAATGTAATGTATTTAATACACCTGTATTTTTATAGGTGGGTCACATCTTTATGCGCAGTAGTAATTGCCATTCTCTAAAGGAGTAGTTACTTTGTTTATTATAATTATTCTGTCTAATTAATGATGTACTGAATGCAATTTACCTTCATATTTTATCAATTATAAAACAGAAAATATCTAATTAAGTAACTGGTCATTACAGTATGTAATTACGTGAGAATTATAAGTTATGAGATTAATCATAGTTTCTGATTAAACGTTTCACTGACAAGCACCCGGCTGGAGGAAAAACTCTCCAGGAACTTTGAGGCCCTCTGGAAGACTGCACATTTCACCGCAGTGGCTAGGATGACGTTGTAGAAGGGCGAACGACAAGAAGCAGAGGACTGACTGGTGGGGACTTGTTTTAAAGTGAATTCAGTAACTTATGATATACAGGTGTGTTATTAATATAAGCTTGTTTTTAGCGTCACGTGGCTATGCTTACATCTGTGTTATAAAACGTTTCTTGCTGTGTTTTTATGCCCCCACAATGTGGGAGCATATAGCGTTGCACTTGTCCGTCTGTCCGTCCGTCCGTCAGTCCGTCAATCCGTCAGTCCGTACGTCCCGAAATCTTGTGAACGCAACTCCTCTTAAACCGGATGGCAGATTTTGCTTAAACTTACAGGGATGAACAACCTTAATGTGTAGATGGCAGTAAAGGAAGGAATTTTTGCTGCAACCAAATTTAACAGAATTATGGCCCTTTGTTGATTTTTTCATTATATACTATGTAGAAATTTTGTGAACGCAACTCCTCTTAAACTGGATGGCAGATTTTGCTTAAACTTCCAGGGATTAACAACCTTAATGTGTAGATGGTAGTAAAGGAAGGAATTTTCGCTGCGACCAAATTTTACAGAATTATGGCCCTTTGTTGATTTTTAGTTTTCAACTTGTGGCACATGTAGTCAAAAAATATTTGACCTAGAGTCATGAGATTGACAGAACAGTGGCGTGTGGGGGCATCCGTGTCCTATGGACACATTTCTAGTTTTTTTCTGTAATAAATTCTCTAATATTGTGTTTCCCTTAGTTTTCTTTGCATTCTTAAGTTAGCCTTATTTCGTATATATCGCATTGAATATGATCATATAATAGACCTACTCCGAAATGAAGAGTATTTTGTAGGGGGGGGGGGCTGTTTAAGCTTACTCGGGCGTACAAACAAACTTTTACAGTTTTACAGTTTCGGGAATACTGTATTCCTAGAAATGTTCGCGGATACAATTTTTCGCGTTTTTCACAACGTCGGCATTTTCGCGGAGACAAATTTTCGCGGATTTGTAATAACCGCGAATTCCGCGAATATTAAGTCGTTACGGCCTAAATTACAGTTTTTGGAGGCTACGTTTTTGATGCATGACCTTGCCTGTTTGGTACTTTTAATTCATTTTTTGTTGCGCTTTAAGCGCTAAGCTACTCGATATATTTTCATCTATTGACTAGTCGAACACAGACGGTTGTTCCGTAAACACTTTTTCCTTATTTCCTTACATTTATCACTATGTGATCAAGTAAGATTTAGTCAAACCCGTTAGTTTTTATTCTCATTTGAATCATAATTGACTATATCTTCAAAATGTCGACACGTAATGTTTTTACACCTGAAAATCGGAAAGAATTGCTGATCCTTTGGAAACATCATTACCTACTTGTAGTACGAGTGATGATTCTGTGATATAACAGCATAACAGCTGCTTATCACTGTAGCACTTGATCGCTACTGTACTTTTAACAAAGGACTACACCTACTCGAAGCAAATTAAATCCAAGTCATTCAATGTACGCAAACTGTAAATGCTTTTGTATACGCCGTGAAAAGCGCAACAGTTTAACTAGACTATTGTGACCCGTAGGGCACCGTGAAGCTGTAACGGTAAAACTTTATTTGTACCATTTGACCATTTGTGGCAGGGTATATAATTATGTCGATTATAAGGGTAACGCGCTCATTACTCTATCGTGCGTGCACCGTGAAACTAAAACGGTAAAATTTTGTTTGTTAACCCCACAGACGGGGATCACCGAAATTTGCCAAATCCCGACGTATCTCTGTCGACCCTTTGAGAGTTTAATTAATCAGCCTGAAGAAGTTATATCTATTAGTTCTTATTAGCTGGGACATAATAAAACGGGACAAGCAACTGGAGTTTAGCACCGTGTTACCTTCTCGCCTTCTGTCACGCGCCGCAAATTTGTCTTGTTGGTCGATTGGAAAATGAATATTTTTGTCGGTTTATATATAAACGATGTAAATAGGTGAAACTAAAACCAAGTGGTGTAAGATTATCGATCGATTGACCCAACGCAAGACCAGTAATCTAGTTAGTAGTTGTTTGTCCCGATATGCTGTGTCCCACATTCAAGAAAGCCGTCTGATTGGATGGCTTTTTACCCAAAATCTCGTTAACGCGAGAAATTATGTTGTCACAGATACGTGGATGGCGTCTTCAACCTGCACGAGAGTAAGAGAGTTGACAAATGACTTATAATATGTATATAAGTAGTGCTTATATCAATGACCTACAATTCAAACAAATAAAAACAACAAACCTATTCAGCTTTTATTTTTATAATAAAATCACGCCAATATAACAGTGTCCCTTTCAAAGTGCTGATAAATGAAAACAATGTTTAAAATACGTAATAAATATGATGTCATTGTCTAAAGTCTCCGCCCAAAAACCTCATTTCCGAATTAAACCATAACAAAAGTGCAAGTTATTTGTTTCTTCTTCTTCAAAATAACATAATTCAGCGAATTTTATTAGTGGCAACCACATATGAATGTGACTTAAACTGTAGAAATGTTATCAGCAAGTATTATTGGTACAAACAATACAATCATTTTACACAGCTGAAATTATTCGAACATCATTGACCTTGAGACAACAAAAGTACGCCTTATTACAAATGATGTTGATTTGTAGCAGAAAATATAACTTTAGAGAACAATATGAACTATATTCGTGTGCCCTTTTATGAGGGTGGGTGAGAGTATTTCTAAGTTCATTATACATGTAAATTTAAGATAAAACACTGCTTTTATAAAGATGAAGTATTAAATCGGCGTATGATGAAAGCTTTTTTTTTGCTGTTGTTTTTGTTGTTGTTGTTGTTGTTCATTGGCCTATGATTATTCACATCAAAGAAAAAAAAGTGTGTGGTAATACTTACCGGATGCATATTACTTTATATTACATAACAGACATGACGATTTAATGAAATAAGTTGCCCACGTATAAAAATTTCTTACCACCATTCTTTATATATATTTGGCAATATGACAAATAAGAAGGGGGTGTCAGCTGTACTTTACAGAAGTAATGTACTTGTAATCTATTTTAAGTTTTCAATGATAACTTTTGTATAAAAAAGGTGCTACAGTTTCCGGATATTAGAAAACATTAAATCATATATCAAACAGAAATTGTATTTTTCAGCAAATAAATCTTTTTTTTTTCTTCATAAAATGTAATGTTCTTAACTTATCATTTAATCAATTGTTTCAATATTTTCATTAATATATTTTAAGTCAATGGTTTTTATTTTTTCGTGGATTTACAAGAATTGTAGAAATCAGGGAAATGAAAAATGAGAATAGTAAATTTATAAACGAAAAGTATCAGACACTTCTTCGCCTTAATACATGATACATTGTTACTTGAATTTCTTTATGACATCATACACTGACAAAACGGATATCAAAAGCACAGACTGTTAACCAAATTAAATTAGTTATTAACAACCAAACATATTTGAAAAATGTCGCAGTCTAACATCTAAATATAGCATCAATAGCGATACAACACAAATCTTCAAATCTCACTTCACATGCAAACAATAACACTAAAATGCAAAGCATTAACAATGGAATGTATATCTTTCCACAATTAAAAGTACAAAATAACACTAAAAATGTTTCACGAAATAATTATCACATTTTGGTTTTATTCGGTAAATAAAACAAGACACATCTGTAAACATGTGACCGCCTGTCAGCAACAGCCGCCATCTTTTTTCTTCCCAGCATCCTTGCCGAGCTTGATACCTTTACCTTCCGGTTCCGCCGACTGAGGTCGTAATTTTGCTAAAGTTTGCGCTGGAAAATAAAATGAACATAAGTAAATTTCCTTATTAGAGAAAATTATTCTCTGCAGACGAAACTACGTGAAGCAGTCGTCTACAGGTTACTTCCCTTTATTCATGCACTAGGAGTGTCACGTTTATCCGTTTAAACGGGTACGGTCGGGTTTTAGTAGAAAATTCAATGGTAAGTATTTGACAAAAAGGCGAAAATGTTTTTATTTGACTCTAAATTTGATTTTTTCTAAAAGATATGACAATTGTTTGTATTTTAGTTGTACACCACAATGTATTTTTCCGATCTGATCGAGTACGGTACGAATTTTATTAGTACGGACGGTTAACGTTTAATGGTGGTTAGCATTTTTTCTAACCGTGACACCCCTATAGTTCGTCGTTCATATCTAACAGAAAAGTAATTGCAAGAATAAAGAATATAACAAAAATATTTCTAAATATGATTCACGAATGTGTAAAAGTATTTTGATTTCTAAATAAATGTCATCAGCTTGGCAATTACTTACAACAAGTGCAATATTCTCAATAATGTAAACTTAAAATATCAAAGTTTCAAATAACAGACTGAATGTTCGTCAACTATTATCGTTTATCCAGTATCTTGCATATATAATATCTACCAATTTACTACGTCATTTCTCTAGAAAATAAACAACGTTTTAGGGCTTGAACTTGCACCAGTCAGTTGTTGCCTCAATGATGCCCATAGTGTAATGGAATAGGAGGGAAGGGACACATATTTTACACCTGTCGCCTGTCCCCGTACTGACTGATCAATACGTAGATGTTGCTTTGGCGCCAACAGTCATTGCAGGGGGGTAAAACTGACTGTTGCATTATGGGGCATGAACTTACCGACCGCCATGAAAATATCACCCACACACATTCCAGTTTTAGCAGACGACTCTGTGAATATCAGATTATTCTCTTCCGCAAACGCTTGTGCTTCCTGTAAAGTTCAAAGTTCAAACGTGAATGTCATTTCAAGTTATTGGCATAAAAATGTGTTTATTTTAACATATCTGTCAATTAATTAAAAGTAGTTTTTATCTTAGTCAGTTTAACTGGTGTTTTAACTTAATATTTGCGCTTTAACTGCTTTCCTCACTAGTATAATGCAACAAATTGATCCTGTCTTTTATTACTAAGCCAAACTCATTGTAACGTTTTGACGTCGTCTCTATTGACGTCATGCGACGCTGCCATTATTTCCTGTTTATTGTTAATTATTATGTATATACCTTGAAGAAGGCTGTTCAGCCGAAACGCTGGTATATTAAAAGGAATTTTAAGTATTTGCAGTTGACTAGTAAGTTTTTTACTATTTATTCAAACATCGGAATATAGTCTACCCAGATTGATTTAGATAGTGAATGAAAAGCATATGTAAAGGTTTAACTAATTAAGATAGATATAAAGGGTGCTGCAGCTCTCAAACGCCTCAAATTGTTCAAATGATTGTGAAATATTTTGCCTAAACATGGTGGTAATATACTTTGTACACAAAATTAATTGTTGGGTTGGTTTCAAAAAATTTCAAATTACTATCTTTTAAATCGTGAGTATAGTATACATGTTAATAAAATTGCTTTGTCCTTGTGCAATCGACGTAGATTTTTGCTCAACACAGAACGCGCATGCGATAAACAATACTTCTGTTGCTATAAGGGAAAGTCGTCATGCATGAAAAATGTCTATTTTAAAACTTGAACATAAGTTACCATGAGAGCTGAGATAGTTATTTCACTTTTGAATATCATTATCTTTATGGGTTCGAAACCCGACAGGGACTTTGGATTTTTTTCATGTGAGGAAGCTATCCGGCTAGTTTACGGAACTTCGGTCGTTCTACCCAGGTGCCCGTTCGTGCCTGAAATAATGCAAGGAAGTGCACCTGAGGTCTTCCTCCTCCAGTAAAGCTTGGACGTCGCAATATGACCTATAATGTGTCGGTGTGACGTTAAACCCAATCAAACTAACAATCAAACATACCTCTCGCGAGACCGCACGTTTCTCGGATGCCATATCTGCTTTGTTCCCTGCCAGAACCATTATGATCTGAGAATTTGCCTGTTGCTTCAATTCTTTTATCCAACTTACAGCTTTTTGAAAAGTTTTCTGGAAAACAAAAAGGCAAATATGTTTACCTCGACTTTCTCATTTTATTTCACGGGGTTGAATCTGTCACACGATTAACTTACTAGTCCTGACATATTGGCATAACTTCTTATTACTGGAGAACAGCATATTTTGTGTTACTGTTCCTTCACCGTGAGTATAAGAAAATGTCAGGAAAATTTACAATGACTGAGAGATTTTATTATGTTATGTTCTATTGTCAGAATGAAAATAGAAAATTAAGCTCTACATGGTATGTAAAAATATAACAGAATTTAGTCAACTTGAAATTTATTCTATATTCGCGGGAAACAAATCTAAGCTGTACAATGAGTAACATAACGTGCACTTGACATTAATTATAATCACGTCACAGTATTTCAAATTGAAATACTGTGACGTGATTATAATTAAAAGTACAATATGAAATGAAAAGTTTCATTTTGATTACACTAGTAAACTAGAATGAGAATTACATGTGATAAGGATAATTCTTGAGTTAATTAAATTATCAAATTATCTTAAAGTAAGTGGTATCGTCATTATCGTGTGAATTATTGTACGCTTGATTGGATTTATGAATACTTAGAATTCATTTGTAAACCCGGACCTCATCCCAAGGGTTGTGCAAAGGATAGCGGGGTAACTAAACACAGATTTATGCGGGCTTAATGTGGCGATTTTGTTTTGGCGCCAAACTAGCGCAGTTCAAAGAACATTTAGCTGGGCATTTTCTTTTCGACTGTTTTCTAGGGGCTTTAACTATGAGTTTCCAGATACAAATCAAGGTTTCGCTATTCCCCTGGGGAAAAGGGGTGATGCCCCAAAAATGACTGGTTAATAATACTCACAGTATTTGTGACGTCATATACAACAACAGCTGCTTGTGCCCCGCGGTAATACATGGGGGCTAAACTGTGGTACCTCTCCTGCCCGGCCGTGTCCCAGATATCGAACTTTATAGACACGTTTGATACATTTATTGTCTGTGTCAAAAATGCAGCTGAAAGGGATATATAAAAATACTTCATTGATAACCATTCGGTTAAATAAGATATTCATTGATAATGTACATGTCTATATTAATAAGTGTGCATTAATCGGATGCACTTCTTACAACAACTTCGCTATATAACATAAACAATTTTACGTCTGTTGAAAATTATGTTGAACAATGCGTCTATATAATTAGTGTTTAGGTCAATGTTTTGCTCATATACAATAATGAATCGATAATCTTATACATGTTGCCAACAACTAATTACATTTCTTTGACTAAACAGCTTTCTTATGATAAATGAAAGAAAAGCAATGGTCACTTTATTTAGCACAACACGGACCTTTTGGGTTTCCGTGGCGGAGTGGTTATGGTTGCTGAATTTGAACCATTTGCAACTCACATATGTGGATTCGAATCACTATAGGGACTTCGGATTCTTTCATGACTAGCTAATGGAAGGTCGGTGGTTCTACTTACGTGCCCACTCGTACTTCTAGATGATACACTGATCAAGGATTTCTGTCACAAATATGCTAAGAGGACCTCAAATGAACAATATATACCGACTTTGATATAAAGTATCAATTTTACTGATCACTTACCACCTATAGTTGCTTCAGAATTTTCTGTGAATTCACCTCGTACAAATCTCAAAGCAATGCTTGATTTTCCTACACCCTGGTCGCCTAGCAACACTAGTTTAACGTTCTGTACCTTTGACCCACTGACCGGTGCAGCACCGGGTTCGTTTCCACGCCTTTTACCACTCATATTAGGGCTTATATTTGCCTGGAATACCTTGAGGAATACAATAAAAAAAATAGTTTTATTATAAAGCAATCGATATACATGTATTAGCCTACCAGTTTGTTTATTATTCCTTAATCTGCTGGCGGCTACATAATGTACTTAAACGCCCAATACAAACCAAGAGCAGTCGGATCATGGTCGGCACTATTCGCTTGTCAGTCATTACGTGTTTATTTTTTTAACTTTCCGTAAAAAATGATAGATTGCCACCAAATTGAAGAAGTTAAGAATTTAAAATATTCAGCGGAGTATTGGGATCCTTCACATTTACCGGACAATCAATTTACCGGACAAAATTTATTCCTGTCGAATATGCGCTTTATTTTTGTTTCGATTCTAAGATCATCCGTTCAGAATTGCACAGACGCTTTCCGTTATATAAAAGATAGGTTTTGTTTTATAAATTGAAATGGCCCCTTTCTTCACATCCTCTTCCAACTAACCCCCCCCCCCCCGCCTCCCATCTCTGTTTGTTGTACAGCTTTTTGGGGATTTTTTATTATTGATGTTTTGTTGTTGTTTTCATTTTTTTATTTTATTTATTTCTTTTTTATTTCTTTTTATTATTTTTTCTAATTATTTTTTATGGGGAGGGTTAAAATAATTGGATATATTTCATATTTATAGTCACGCATTCTTTGATTTTGTTTCACATAAATTTAAGCACCGTCTCAGACTAGATTCCACCTTGTTTTCGTGTCTTAAAAAAATCAAATAACTCAGCGTAGTCATGGCCTGTGATCAACGAAACGCTTTCAAACATAGATTAACGAGGAAAATGGCTAACTTTATACCCCGGTCACATATTCACGGAATACGCCCACGGAAGAGCCACGGATTAATTCCGGCATCGTCCGTAGCTACCCGTACTGGTCAGTAGCTCTCCGTATTGTAACCGTAATCAATCGTAGTAGTCCTTTTATATCCGTAGCGATCCTTGACAATTTTTGAACATGCACAAAATTTTGCTACGGAAAAATCAACCGTAGCGTATCCCTACTAGTCCGTATTAATCCGTACTGATACGTACTGGTCCGTATGAAAACCGTACTAGTCCGTACTGATTCGTAGTCCACCAACTTGTCAAGGATTTCCACGGTTTTTGTACGGAGAACTACGTATTTGTACGGATACCCTACGTATAAGCTACGGTTTTAATACGGATTAATACGGCATTGTCACGGAAAGCCACGATCGTAATACGTTGCACTACGGAGAGGCAAGGATTAGCACGGTCTTATACGGTTTATTGCGTTGCAACACGAAACGGTACGGAATGGTACGGTCCACCACTGTTTAGTACGGATGAATAAAGTATCATGTACTTTTTCAAGGGTATAAATACTACCTTCTTGTTAAAAACAGACATATTTGCGGAGACATTTAATTAATGATAATTGCCATTTACTGGCTGCAACTTTATATTGAAATGGCTCAGAATGCGGAGGCAGTGGTCGAGCTGCTTGATGACATACATAGAAGTAAATTTATATTAATATCGTACTACAATTCATAAGTAATAGAATAACATTTAATGTTACATATTTTACAAACATTGGATCGTGAAATTGGAGTAAATATGTACATAAAACGAAGTGTCTCATAAGCCTCGGAGGCTGGCCCTTGAATGATAATAAGATTAGTTAACAAGCTTTTTACATATTTTTCAAACATAAACATCACGATAATTAATGTTATTGTAAGATGAACAACAAATCTTAAAATTAAAAGAGAAGCAGTATTGATCAACATTTTTCATTAATGATAACTAGTCCATATCTAATCAGGTAAGAGGAGACAGACGAGATGGTGGACTAGAGATGGGCTGTTACAAAGACCGCTTCAAGTTTAGTATGAGGCTCTCATGGCCGAACTTGTTGAGGATCCAGCGTCTTTCAAGAAATTCACTTTAATCGGACCTGATGTGTCTCGGGGGTCGGACGCGATTAGGCCGAGTCCTCTCCGCCAAAATCATTGAACTCTGCAATTCGTTTTGAGGCATTTTTGAAAATGAGCAAGCAAGAGGTTGCGGACGGATGTATAAGGTCCGTATAGATCCGTGGCAATTCGTTCTTCTCCGTATCAATACGTTCTTCTCCGTATCAGACCGTACTTATTCGTTCTAACCCGTGCTTATACCGTAGCAGACCGTAGTGTATCCGGTGTTGCGTCCGTCCTGATTCGTGTCGCTCCGTATCAAACCGTGTCGGTCCGTAACAATCCGTGTCTCTCCGGGGACTTTTGGTGGTAAATCCTTCGGACTCCGTACTCATACCGTTGTGTGTCCGTACTGGAACCGTAGCGAACTACGAAATTTCACATTTCCGTAGTAATCCGTGAACAATTAGACCGTAGCTCTTCCGTAGCATTATCCGTGAATATGTGACCGGGGCATTATACAAGTAATAGAAAGAGCACCGAAACACGAGGTTATCTGATTTGTACGAGGGGGCGTAGCGCCGCGAGTATTAATCAGATTACCGAGTGTTTGGTGTTCTTTCTCTTTTGTATCATAGTCAAACATAAAAACACGTTCCCTGTTGTTACAATGTGAAACCCCGGCAAAAATGAACTAATGAACGAGCATTTAAATATGACATTTCTGTCGATTTCACTTTCACTGCCGTCACAATATGTAAACCCCAGCAAAAATGAGCCAATCAATGGGCATGCTCTGGAGTGCGGGTAACTAATACCCGCACTCCAGTTAACGCACTGTGCATGTATATGTATACGATTTAACCCTGACACATTTTCAACAGAAAGGTCTCCAAACTATGATACAACATGTAGTTATTGGCAGATTTCATGTGCACTATCTCAACCATTGTATCATAGTTTGGGGACCTTTCTGTTGAAAAAGTGTCACAGTTAAATCGTATACATATACATGCACAGTGCGGTAACTGGAGTGCGGGTATCAGTTACCCGCACTCCAGATAATGCCCGTTGATTGGTTCATTTTTGCTGGGGTTTACATATTGTGACGGCAGAGAAAGGGAAAGGGGCAGAAATATCATATTGAAATGCTCGTTCATTGGTTAATTTTTTTCTGGGGTTTCATATTATGACAACAGGGAACGTGCTGTCATGTTTGACTATGATACAAAAGAGAAAGAACACCAAAACACTCGGCAATCTGATTTATACTTGGGGGCTACGCCCCCTCGTACAAATCAGATAGCCTCGTGTTTCGGTGCTCTTTCTATTACTTTGATTATCTTTCAATGACGCCACCCACAATAACGTTTGTCAATTCGGCAAACTTCGACACTTTCCGTGTCCAGTATTAATTCTAAAAGCGTTTAATCAGTTAGATTATTTTGTTCCTGGTCGTACCGACGCTTATGCGATCTATATCAGATACGAAACAGACGACACATTTTTGTCTTTTCACAAATCTGTAATGATTTTATTACCTGAACGAACCTCTTTTTTCCCACAAGAAGAGAAAACAAAAATGAGACTTTGACCTTTAGCTGACTCATCAACATCACAGATATACTTTAAACAACAATTATACTCCTTATGTACCGGAAGGTATTACTTAATTTGTCCATTTATTTAACATTATAATACAATGTACTTAATGTCCGATATGACATCATTCAAGTACAAACAAACATTGTCCCTACTCCATATTAATTAGATTGCATACCAATTACAGATATAATTGAAAAGCACAAATATACATTTATGTCTCTAAAGTACATTCTAACTAAATGGTATGCCTTTGTGTTTTGAAATAGAGGTTCGAACAGTTAATGAAGACTCTTTTAAGGTAGCTTCAAATGATCAATTATCTGTTGACATCATCAATTATGTCATAATTAACTTCAACGAGTTGCATAAACAAAATCAAGCGTCTCTCTTTTAGATTCAATTCAACATTATAGTTACGTCGTGATATTCTATTGCAACCATGAGTCCAAGGGGAGGGGAGGCAGTGAGACGGGTGTTTAAATTTTATCTGTCCCTGAACTGCAGAGTCAATACGCAGGTTTCGTGTTGGCGCAAAAAAAAACCTGTCGCACTGCGGGCTTTTGCAGGGATTTGCCATATGGCTTTACCAGGGGCTAGATGCGAAAGTCACACGGAAACTGAATCGTGTTTACATTTGACAGGTGCATCATGGGTAATTTGTATATAACATGTATAAATGATGAATATACAACGTAAATATTTTTTTTGTAAAAGAAACACAAGCAATTTGTCGATCGACTTGAAAAATCAAATTGAATTAAAAAAAATTAAACAGTGAATAACTGTTATTATGATAAAGACAAACTATACATAAATTGAATAAATAAACCTAGTTCATGTTTCAGATAAAATCGAGGATACGGATCGCGTACATAGATAATAAATATATGTGATAATCATAAAAAAAAGTTTATCGTTAATCTTTCATCATTGTTATGCTATAGATATAGAAAATCTACTCGTATATCTTTAAAACAATAATAAAATAGTTCGTCATCCTTAATTTACACACAATTTAACTTATTTCAAACAATCTTAACATATTTCAAACAATGTTGCTGTAGAAAAATAAAAACTTACTGCAATATCCATTATTAAACAAGAACAAAAAAACTAATTGTAAACTGTTAAGAGGTGCTTCACTGTCTAGCTATTTTAAAAGCACTAGCAAGTATTCCTTTGAATAAATAGGGTTTAAATATCTTGCGAGTAGACGAGTATTCGGATAAACAGTATTTTGATTTGTCGCGCGACTTTATACATAAATATCAATGAGCCATATGCGTACGATTTTACCGATATATAGTAATGATTCATTCTTTACTAAAGTTCTGCGTACTTGAAATATATATACATCCGCATTTTAAACAGTGCTGGATTTAGGGGAATACTTTAATTGAAACCTTTGAATAATAATAATAATAATAAGGAACGGTACTGAAAAGATATTTTTTGCCAAAATATACATGTATATCGATGCGGGGCAAACTATATGCAGTGATTTTAACAGTGAATAGTCGATATCGATTTTAAAACCATAGGTTTATAAGAATGGCGAAGTGTACTTATTATCATGATTAGTCACATATTATTAATATGCCACAGTTAGTAAATGTCGAGGTTGAAATATG